CAGGGGTCGGCGCTGTTTGGGGGCGGGGACCTCGGGGGGACTCAGCGTGAGCAGATTCGGCCCCTGGGTCACTCACACCAGTTCACCCAACCCGCCACCCACTGCCCCCAGTCCCAGCCATCGGCCACCCACCGCGTGTCCTCGGGGTGCACCAGGTCTGCCTGGCAAAGGGGAGGGAGAAAGAGGGGGTGAAGGGCTCCCCATTTGGCCCACGGGAGGTATTTCAGGGTGCAGCAGTGGCAGAAAGCACCGAGGCAATGGCGAATCCCTGGGTGAGGGCAACTCCGAGACTTAACTGGGACCAGTAAAAGGCCACCACAGCCACTGAGCTGAGCCACACTTTAATCCTGCTGAGACCACCGAGCTACAGCGGTTGGTTCCTCTCCATCACCTGGTTCCTCTCCATCACCTGGTTCCTCTCCATCACCTGGTTCCTCTCCATCACCTGGTTCCTCTCCATCACCTGGTTCCTCTCCATCACCTGGTTCCTCTCCATCACCTGGTTCCTCTCCATCACCTGGTTCCTCTCCATCACCTGGTTCCTCTCCATCACCTGGTTCCTCTCCATCACCTGGTTCCTCTCCATCACCTGGTTCCTCTCCATCACCTGGTTCCTCTCCATCACCTGGTTCCTCTCCATCACCTGGTTCCTCTCCATCACCTGGTTCCTCTCCATCACCTGGTTCCTCTCCATCACCTGGTTGCCCTCCATCACCTGGTTGCCCTCCGTCCATTCTTCCCTCTCCATCGTTCTCCTCTCCAGCATAAGGCAACTTCATGGCCAGGTCTGGGATGGGGCTGTTCAGGTGCAGAGGTGGACTTTCTTGCAAAGAAGCCTCCTGGAAGACAGACAGATGGACAGACGGACAGACACGCACACACCAGCACCACGGCCTCTGCTGTGGATGAGGATGGACACCAGACCTCCAGACTCCAACTCAGCCCTGGGGGCGGGGGGGGAACATCCAAAAATTCGCTGGGAGCCTCCGATCCAGGACAGACATTTGCCTCCCACCATGCAAGGGCTTTGAGGCAGAACAAAAAGCCTGGCAGCAGTAAAGCCACCGCACGGCTGGACACCGTGTCCCTCTGCCAGGAGCACGGCTGAGCTTGGCAGCTCAACCCACCCAGACCTTCATCTTCCCCCCTATGGGGAGAAGGCAACTGCTGTCTCCATTTCAGCGCACAAAGACAACGCCGCGCCCGGCAGGGTGGATAAATCGGTGTCGCTTGGCTGCCTTGGGCTGGCTTCAGCTGGGTTACCCTTGGGACAGGGACGTTGGGGTACGGGGAGGGCCCGGGTTCTGGGGGCTCGGGCTGGCAGGTTGTGCCTCTCGCTGGGGTAAGGGCTGTCCAAGAAGGTGGTGTAGAAAAGCTTCTGCTGAATCAGCTCGTGCTCCTGCGCCACGTTGAACTTGATGGCCCTCACCTCCTCGACTATGCTGGGAGGCACAGCCAAGGGAGGAACTAGGAGCATCCTTTCCCCCTCCAGTACCTAATACCTGCTCAATAAGCCTTCTCCAGGCTTTCCAGCCATGGCTTTCCACCAGCAAAGTCCTCTCCCATGCCCGAAGCCACAAGCTGATATCTCCCTGTGACACCAATGCCTCCAGAGGCGTGGCAGCCACCAGCTTCCACCCCCCAACCCAAAAGGGACATCTCTCTCTGGAGAGGTTTTGCCTTGGCTGTGTATAAATGGGCTGATTCCACCCCATCCACCCTACGACCAAGCCAGCAAAGAGGAAGGAGGTCTGCAGCAGGTCTCAGACGTTGAGCTCCTCACGGATCTGTTTGTACCCTCTGGTGTTCTCCTTGCTGCTTTCCAAGAGGCGCTGGACTTCATGCAAGATCTCCTCGCTCAGCTTGCCCAACTCGCTGTGGGTGAACAAGTCCTGGGAGATGTACACGGAGACCCCGTCCCCCACCACCTTCGGGCTGAGCTGAGGGTCCGTGTTGGCCACCCCGCTGTTTAGCTGAAAGGGTTAACGCAGAGATGCGGCTTTGTCCTCTCCTCCACCGGCTGCACGCAAGGACCAACCCTCGTCATCAAACAAGCCAAGCCCAGAGTCCAGCACTACGGAGATGGAAATCCCGGCCTTTAAATGCTGATGGTGGGTGCAAAGTGCAGATCTCTGCTACAGCCAGCTTCAAACTGCTGGAAAATCTCCACTTCTAGCCTCCTCCCCTCCTCCCATTGATGTTTTTTGTAAGAAACACCCATTTTATCAAAATTCTCCTGGCTTTTGGCTGGGGAGGAAGAACCATGCAGCTCTTTTCCACCCAGGCCGTCTCTACAGGGGACCACCAAAACGTGGCCCTTGCAGGGTGGGTTTGACAGATGCTTTCTGCCCATCCTCGCCCGCAGAGCCAACCTGCCCTGGGTGCCCGGTCCTGGCTCTCTCCAGGCTGGACTCCTACTCCCTCTGCTCCTCCTTGGCCTGGGTCAACAGGGATTCCCACAGGCTGGATGTCACCACGGCCACCAGCAGGTTGGCACAGATGAGGACCTCGCTCGTGACGAAGATGATGAAGTAAATGGCCGCCATCGTCTTCAGGGTCTGCCCTTCTTCCCTGTCGGAGACAGGGACCATCTGGTCGACGGTTGGTGGTGGCCACTGCCCCAGCACCAAGCCCCAGGGGAGCCTCTCAGCATTCACGGGAAAGGAGCCCCCCATGCACCCCACATCCCTCCCGGGGTGGGGGGACACAGCTCAGCCCCAGCCGTCCCTGAGCCCCCACCCCGTGGTGGGCTCACGCCCTGCTGCGTGCTCGCTGGAAGGCCTCATAGATGTCCAGCCAGCTGTCCAGCATGATGCAGGCGAAGAGCGAGTACGGGGCCTTCCCTCGGTCACCAAAACGGACCTGGGCAGACTTGCCAAACAGGATGACACCCAGTGCCGAGAAGATCAGCATGGAGACAGCGCTCAGCACCCTCCAACCCCCAGCACTGGGGCTCCCTGGTATAGCAGGGTCCGGCCAAGCTCCTCAGCCTCGGCGCAGGGAGTTCAAAACCCCCCTCCAGCATCCTGGAGCCTGCCGGGGAGGTGAGATGGACCAACGTGGTGGGAAAGGACCATCCTGCTGCTGGCTCTGTGCTTGCTGTCCCCGCGGTCCCCGAGGTCCCGTGTCCAGCGCTGGACCCCGTTGGCCAAGACGCTTTCCCGAGCCGATGCTCCCAGCCCAGGCGGGCATTTCCTGGCCGCTTACCAGCGTGGAAATAAAGAGGATGAACGTGATGTTGCAGAGGTCGGGGATGACCTTGGGGATGGCCTGAAGCATCCTGGCCAGCCCCTTGACCAGCCTGCAGACCTGCAGAAGCCTCATCACCCTGGGGCAAGGCGAGAGCTCCCGTCACCACGCTGACCGTGCCAGGACGCCTTGGTCCCCTCCTGGCCTCTCCCATCAGGGTCTGGGGAGGGTCTGCACTGCCAGGGATGCTCCCCAAATCAGGGGAAAAAAGCGAGGGTGAAGAGCAAGCGGTGACGTTGCCTTTCCCAGCGCAGATCCAGCACGTGGGATGGGGGCACCACACCTTGGCCAAATCAACGCAGGGACGTCGGAGGCTTTGGGGTATGGCACCCCCGTCC